GGGTTCCCGGAGCCGGGACGGGCCGGAAGTGCCTGCGCCTCCCGCCCCCGGCGGCGCCTCTCTAGGAGCCGGGGTGCCGGCGTCTCAGTGGGAATAACCCCTTCGGCCCCAGCGGGCTGAGCCTGTGGCTGGAGGAATTCGTGCGTTTTCTCCCTGAGCCGGGCCGAGTTGTCTTGTGTTGACTGAGGGACGTTCTGACGAGTGAGAGCGGTGCCCGTGCGTAGTGGGCAGAGACCCACCGGCTGGGTTTGTGTCCCTGCTCCGCTAGGGTGCTGAGCAGCCTCGGCCAGGTTACCTAGCCTCTCTGAGCCTTGGCTTTCTCGTTTGTAATAACCTTATGAACCTCAAAGGCTTGCTGTAAATACCCAATGAATCGACACATGTAAAGCACTTAGTGCTTAATAAATACTGTGGAGTTAGTCTGGAGCTGAGGAGGCTGTGCGACATCACCCAATTCCTACAGCGGGATAAAAATCAACGATGAATGGTGCTGGCCCTGAGTGAACATCAGCCTTGCTTAAAGAAAAGGATCTTGTGACCTTAAAAAGAAGCTAGTTGCAGACATCCAAAGGTGAAAATAAAACCACATTTTTATGTGCAAAAACAGTTACCATCCAGCCCAACCTTTCACACCACCTGTGGAAACCTCCGAGGCCAGTTCGACTGGCCATTTTTTAAAATCCTCACCCAAGGATAGGTTTTTCTTGATTTCAGAGGGGGGAGGGGAGAGAGATAAGCATCCATGTGAGAGAAACATAGATCAATTGCCTCCCATAGGCTCCCCAACTAGGCTTCGAACCCACACCTGAGTATGTGCCCTGACTGGGGACCGAGCTCCGCTTGGTGTAGGGGGTGGTCCAACCAGCAGAGCCACCTGGCCAGGGCCCCACTGGCCTTTTCTCCCTGCTTCCATACTCCGTCCCTTTGGGCAGTTTCCACATGGCTCCAGCTTTAGTACTAAAGGCCTTTGGTTAGAGTTTGTGGAGGCCTGGAGAACATGGCCAGGCTGTCCTTTCTTCCTTTCACTCCCTAGGGATTCAGCAACTAGATAGTCATGCAAGAGAGCAGCCCAGGAGAGTGGGGCCATGAGAGCATGAGAGAAAGGGGCCAGGGCGATGGGAGATGAGGAACTGGAGTTGGTGGGCATGGACTTTCTCACCTCGGTGCCCTTGGCCACGCTGCTCCCTCTTCCTGGTTTAGGATTTGAGAGGACACCCCGGCCGGGCGTGGCTCAACGGTTGAGCATCGACCTAGGATCCAGGAGATCGGGGTTCGATTCCCGGTCAGGGCACATGCCTGGGTTTCGGGCTCGATCCCCAGCAGGGGGTGCGCAGGAGGCAGCTGATCAATGACTCATCATTGATGTTTCTATCTCTCTTTTCTCTCCCTTCCTCTCTCTGAAATCTGTAAAAATATATTAAAAACAAAAAAAAAGATTTGAGAGGACAGGACGTTTCCCATCTTGTCGTTTCTGCGCCCTAACACCAAGAAAGGTGGGCTTTCCCAAGATCACTCCACCAGTTAGTGATTCAGCCCGGACTGTTTGATCAGCAAGGGTCACTGAGCGTCTCTTGTAATAATGTACCCAAGGGCAGGAAGAGGAGTGTGGCGCCGCCCAGTTCAAAGACCACACACACTTTCTCCAGCAAGGAAATGATGTCTGTACCACACAGGGGAGATGTTTTCTAATAAGATTTGTTTAACGTTTTTCTTTCTCACTTCTTTTTTTATTGTGAAAAAAATTCAAACGGTGCAGAGAATAGTGAAAAGCAGGCTGCCCTCCGGCCTCTGTCCAAGCCCGGGCCTCTCACACCTCCTGGGTGAGCACTGTGGCCCGTTTCTTGTGTCGCTTTCTAGAGTAGTCCATGCATTTGCGAGCATCGCCTTTTAGAGAAACACAAGATGATAGCACACCGTAGTTACTTGCTTTCCCCCTTCCTTTTTTCACATAACGTATTATGGAGAATGTTTCATGTCAGTTTGTACGTACCTGCTTTATTTATTTTCACAGTTGCCAAGTATTCCATTATATGGAAATGCCATAATTTATTTAATCAGCTCCCCTATTTCTAGACATGTAGGTTATTTTCAGTCTTTTGCTACCGAAAGAACATTTCAGCGTGATCACTGTGCACACATGTTTGGTTCTCTGCCACCACGCCTGTAGGATCCAGCAGCGGGCTTTTTGGGTCAATGGTTGTGGGCATTTTGAAATTTGACCAGTGCAGCCAGATTTTCCTTCCTCCAAAGAGGCAGTGCAGATGTATACTCTTACTAACAATGGTTGAGAGTGCCTATTTCTCTACATAAAATATATCCAACTCTTTATATTTGATAACCTTAGATTTAAAATATTTCATGGTTGCTTTTATTTGCATTATGAGATTATTTTATAACAAACACTGGTAAGAGGCCGTTGAAACCTACCATTGGAGGTGTGAAGTTTTAAGAACTTGTGCTGCTTCGAGTTAGTCCACAACTCCGGATCAGACATGGACAAATAAATGAGCGCTCCAAGCCGCCTGACTCCTTGGAGAAGAGACACAGAAACTGGAGACAGACAAAGAACATCCCAACTTTTAAAAAAGAAAAGAGGAAAGATATTGTTAATACAAACCAAAGGGGGCTCACAGGAGAACTTTCTCCCAAGCCTTGTATGAATTACGTAACAAATATTTTGCTTGGGCCTCTAGAAACCTCAGCAGATCTCTAACCCACTTCCAGTAACTGTGTAATAAGCGGAGCTCTGTGTCGGGCTTTGTGTACCACGCTGGATTCATGTTCTCATTTTCCCGCTGCCTTCACTTCGCTATTTTATTTTCTCTCTAGTTCATGATACTCCGCTCCTCCTGCTGCTGTCGGTGGTAATAGCCAGTGTTTAGTGACTGAGAGTCTTACCAGATGCCAGGCACCTGTTGTATATGTGGCTCCATAAATGCCTCAAGTCCTTTTCGAAACCAAGCAAGGTATAAATAAAGAAACAAACCCAACTGCCAATTCCCTCATCTCCTTTCTGTTACCCACCTAAAGGTGTCTTTTTAATATCTGAGGCAGTAAGTATTAGAGAAGGACTCCACATCTGTGACTTCATAGTTCTCCTTACGAACCTGTATTTGAAAAAAAAAAACAACAGCAAACCTACAAAACAAGAATCTCTTCGCAGTCAGAGGCTATTAGTCGAGTGATAATAACCTTACAAAACTTAACCCCTAAGGCCCCAGTAAGGAAAGTGGTGATCACCAGGAACCCACAGAGAGCCACTGTACCAGACAACTCTTGTGTCATTTGTATAGTGAAGATAAGAACATGGGTTGACAGTGGCCGAGTGCTCGCTCATGCTAGACCCTCATCTAAGCTATTGTGCGTTAATATGTTTAATCCCCACATCCACCCTATGAAGTGGGAAACATTTTCTTTTATTTGTATTTTTAATTTTTTGGTTCTTTTTCAATTTTATTTTTAATTGAATTTATTGGGGTGATGTTGGTTAGTAAAAGTATATAGGTTTCAGGTGTATAATTCTGTAATACATTGTTTGTATATTGTATTTCCCAAGTGGGAAATGTTTTCTACAGGTATAAGGTTACAAGGGTCATAGACCAAGGAACTGAGATCTAGTTTATGTGGATTTCAGCATGGTAGGTACTAAAATCTCTACTCACATCCTTTAGATAAGATGGGCTGAATAGCTTGCACTTAGAGCCACGATAATTACAAGAGTATGCACCGCAAAGCCAGAGAAATGCTCACGGATTTGACCCAGTATTTCTATTCCTGGAACTGTATTTTAAGAAAATGGTCAAAATTAGGGAGACAGATATTCTCAGAGATGTTTATCAAAGGTTTATGTATAAGAGCAAAAAATGACAGCAATGTAAATATTCAACAACAGGGAAATTGTTACAGGATAGGAGAGGGCCTCATCTCCCCTGCTTGCTCATGGAAGTGGGGCTCTTGGGGTAACGCTGGAATAAGCATTTCCAAAGGCCCCCACAGAAGGATGAGGTATAATAGAAGGCTTTATTTCTGTGGAATTACACCCCTGGTTTTCCAAAGCCCCATTTCCCTTAGTCTAGTCATAGAAGAAGTGTAGCTGGAGCTTCAGTAGAGCTGAAATCAGATCCAGTGTGCAGAGTTTCTTTTCCATGTTGGAGCCGGGTCCAGGCCAGCATCAGGCTAGCCTAGCTTGAATTTCCCATCTGCAGTCCATTAGTCCATTGTGTGTGGGGTCCTTATGGCTGTGGACCATGGGGTGAATGCAAGGAAGCAGGAGCAAAAGAGCCCCACAAGTCAAGAGTCAAGTGCAACAGGAGAGAGAATTCCTTTGATTAGGGGGTTATGTATCCCAAGTTTTCTTGCGCTCACGGTAGCCATGCCCATTCTGGCCAACCATCTCTGTCCCCAGGTGTGACTGACAGACAAGTACCTTCCCTATGTCACCCCAACTTTAGTGGGCATGCGTCTGTCTTCCCTTTGTTGGACCTCTTCCCCCAGTGTTTTGCAGGGAATAGGCCAGTGGTTCCCTGGGGAGTACAAAGTTGCAGCTTCCTGGTGAAGCTGCCCAAATGACATGCCTATAATGTCTGGCCTTCCCTTTGCTCCTTTCCTATTATTAACAACTAGCTAATTACAACAGTATCAAAATGACTCAGCAAAATATTGTATATG